AAATTGTAATTTAATATTTGACATTGTAAGTGGAACTAACCTAAACAAACCAGTGCTTCATTTTCTATTAGACATACTACTAAGGGATAAGGAACAAAAGGCTACCCTTATACATTTAACACATGTTTTGCACAGCAGTACATGCTATTGAGATGTGGGAAACATACAGGGAAGGGTTAAACAACATATGCTGTATTCTTCAGTCATTTATTCTTCACAACTGAGGCAAACCATAAAAGTAAAGTGGATTATGGAATTTATCCTGTGACCCTTAGATATATATCAAATAATCATTTACTAGGAAGCTAGGCATTTTCCCATTTTTCCACCTGCTTCATGTTGTAGGGTGTACAGGTCATCATCATGTTTCCAAGAAAGAGCTGCCACTATGTATGTAGAGAACAGCAGGTGTCCAAAGGAGGGAGGAAGAGGAGGATATGAGTTGGCACTTGCAACTCAGAGGGCTTGGTAGTGAGCTTCTGCCTCTGCTTCAGATAGACTAGAAGGCAAACTCTTGGATATGTCTATTATCCTTTACTTGGCCTGCGATAGCTACAAGTGAAAAGTGGCATGGTGAGAAGCAAGGGTAGCTAACCAACTCTTATGAACTAGTCCCTACTTCTTTTTATGCCTCTGTAGCAACTAGCTGCCTTTGTTCTCCTTGTATTTCTTGCCAGGCCTTCCCTCATGACTCTGAAACTCCACCTAGACAGGTATTACTGCTGTCTTCAGCACAATTGCCAGCCAGGAGTTATTAGAGGGGTGATGGATTAAAAAAGCAAGAGGGGGGGGGCAGACAGGAAAACACTGGAACTCATAAGCAAATGTTTCTGACTTGTAATAAATGTAAAACCAAGTGGAGAAATGAAACTGAGTATCAACATGGATATTTAGACCAGACAGGCTATTCAGACCAAGGCTATTCAGGCCAGGTTTCTAAAATGATTATACAGCTTGCAAGGACTTCATTTATGGACTACAATAGATTTAGCCTGGAGCTTCTTACAGTCCAGCAGTGTTGTTCATTTATAACCAACAGGATGGTACAGCTGTTATTACTGATGTTGTTACCAGTAATCTTTACTTATTTATTTACCAATGGTGGTTCATAGATCATAATTTTGCCAGTTCTTAAGGGCATTCTCATATGAATACTTTTCACATTACTTCTTAAAATTCAAGGTACATTGGGTACACTAATAAATGCATGTAAAAAAAACATATTGTGCTCTGTTCCCTGAAACAGGCTTTGAGCCATACCTTTTCACAGAACTCATGTTTTGATTTCTCATCAGCAATAATCAGAAGCACCAAAACCAAATCCTGCCGATGAGCATGAAGGATGCCCAAGCAGAGCTGGTGAGGTGTAGGGAGGGCTGGAGCCCCATGCGTGGAAGGAGAAGGTGGGTGCCTGTTGAGCTCCCTCCTCCCCAGCTGGCTCTGCCCCAGAAGCAGCCTCCAGCTGGGCAGTGATCCCCAGCTCCCTCTGGCTTCCTAGCACAGGATGTGCCTTTGCAGCCTGTCTCTCTCCTGAATAGCTGTCCTTGGCCAAGTGCTGCCAAAATCCCAAGAGCCAGAGCCCAAAAATGCCCCGTTTGGGGCTGGCCTCTGCAAATGCACGGCCAAGCTGTGCTAACCATGGGCAAGTGAGATCAGCCCTCCCGCCATGGAAAAGCTGGAGTTTTTAGGGACTGCTGCTCCCACAGAGAGTGCCCACGACTGGGGAACACCCAGGCTATTGGGGCTTAAGCAGAAGTTTGGTAAATCTAAGAGCATTTTCCCTGAGCAATACCATGAACAACCAGCTGAGGATGGGATCCCTGCTGTTACATGGGGAGAATGGTTTACATTTGTTATGGTGTGTTACATCCACCCATGCTTCCGCTCACTGTTCCAGCTGGCCACATCAAGCACTTTCAAGGAACTTCCCATTTCCTGTAGGTATTGTTTGTGTCCTGCTAACCACAGCCCAGCTGTCTGCTCCACCCATGCACAGAAGCGTCTCTGCCGCTGCTTGCTGAAAGGCAAAATTGCCAGGGCTACTTCTTAATGGGCTGGAATTGCTAAGAGAGAGAATTTGGCCAGATAAAGAATCAGGCCTTCCAAAAGTCTGTATAAAATTGAAGTTACATGTTCGAGCACGCCCCTTTCCCTTGGAAAGGAATTTCAGTAATATACAAATTAAGCTATCTTAGTCTTGAAAATACAATGTGCTCTCAGATGATTCCACCCTTTTGCTTTGAACACCACTCTGTAATGGGTCTTCTTCCTCTTCCTACCACTGATTATGCATAGGTACATATGATCTATATCACATCATCATTCTGTTTTGCTTGCTTCCTCGTCTGAAAATGAACTTTCCATATGTCTGTTGCGATACTTGGTTATTCTATAGAGTGCCACCTCAAGTGTCATTAGTGCTTTCCCATGTGATGAGATGCAAGATTGATCTGTTTTTTCATTAGAACGTCCTTGTTTAAAAATATGTGGCTTTTGTACATTTGACAATGTGTGGGCAAAAGAGTGTCACATACAGTCAGGTTACATGAATACTTATTATTTAAACTCAGAAAAATATTAATGGAAACAGCCAGAAAGAAGACAAATAGGGGATCCAAAGCTCTCCAGAGCTACTAGATTCTTGTCTATCTTGCTCTGAAAATAACCTCCTGGGTGCGCATGACCTCCACCCGCTCTTCACAAGTGACGGCGTAGCGGATACAACCACGTCCTGAAGTGCCTTTGGCCCCTAATGCAGGAGCCTCTTTCTTTCGGGGACCGGGGCGATGCTGTTTCTCCAGGCCCGCGGAGGTCGCAGGCCCGCGCTGCTCTGAGGCGGCTGCCTCCGATGCCGCCGTCTCAGCGGGCCCCGACCGGGGGGCGACGGGGTGCTGCCGGGGCCCGGCGGGGGCCGCTGCGCCGCGGGCCGGGGCGGGTGCCGGCCCCTGGGACAAGACTGTGGGGAGGGCGCCGCCGCCTCCCGCCCGCCGCCAGAGGAGCGGGCCGCGGCAACGGCCGGTTGCTCCGGCAACGGCTCCCGGCGGACAGCGGCGGCGGTGAGGGGGCGGCGGGCGCAGGCGGGGACGGACACCGGCGAAGGGGCGCTCCCCGCGGTACGGGGTACGGCGGGGGGGCGCTCCCCGCGGTACGGGGTGTGTGTGGGGGGCTCCCCGCGGGGCACCCCAGGGGCAGGAGCGGCAGGCAGCCGGGCCCGGGGCCGTTCGGCGAGGGGAGCGGGCAGAGGGCCCGGGGTGGGGCCGCTGTTGCGCGGGCTGAGCCCCCGCTCCTCACCCTCTGCGCCAGGCAGCGCGGAAGGGGGAAGCGGCAGCTGCGGGCTTTACGCCGTCCTTCGCGTGTCCTCGGTTTTCTGCTGTGGAGGGATTTGATTTCTGTGCACCAAATGTGTAAATTCAGTGCTGCTTAAGTGGTTGCAAGTTATGTGTGCAGGATTTCAGTTGCTTTATCCATGTTAAATCTCTGGTGAGACTGGAGTTTACTTGGTCGGGTACACTATTTTCTAGTCGGAACAGCCTGGGATGCTGATAATGTTTCAGTTCCTGATTCACAGAACACCAATATATGTTAACATATACCATCTTGTTATACAGCATTAAAACAAAATGTCATCATCATTACAATCATCCTCGTCTTTACATGTACACAACTGTACTGCTCCTTTATTGGACTTTGATCTTCAGGAAAAGTTTCTTCTTCCTTATGCTACTGAGGCAAGTTCATTCTGTTCTTGTTAAGCTTGATTTTTTTTTTTTTCTATTTACTTTGTTAGCAAGATTCAAAACATATTTCAAAACATACTTCCTAGCTACAAATGAGAAGAAGGTGATATTTCAAAAAATGAGGGAGTGTGCTGGACATAAAAATTGTATACTGAAACTGTGGAAAAATTATTATTTTTTCTTTTCTGCTTACATAGATGGGCTACAATAAATGAAACACGATGTTTAATCTTCCAAGATGCTATTTTCAACTGGAAGTAATTAAATTGAAGAACTTAATTTTGGTTATATAGTCAAGAAAAAGCTACAGAGGCCTGCACTGTGTTACACAAGTTGAGGTCTGCTAGGAAATTAAGCCTGTAACAAACCATGACACATAAATATAGATATATATATATATAAAATCATTAGATGTTTTGAGTGTAGTTATTTGCCTTATGGCAACAGTTGGAAGCAGAGCAGTCTACATTTTGATTCTGTGAGGAAGTGATTTTCTTAGTTAGGAACTCCCCAAATTCTGTTACTCATTTTCTCAATTATGCTAAGGAGATACAGATGTCTGGCAGATCCTTTTGATGGAAATGCACCTGGCATAGGCTGAAAGCAGGAGAAATGTGTCCTGGTGGGTGGAGAAGTCAAGACTTCTGAAAAATACTGAGTAGTTAGTGAAGCACTGAGGGGAGTAAACAGATAACTTTGTGCTTGGTGAGGGCAGCAGTCATGCTGGAGTGTGAGGGTAGAGGCAGGAGAGGTGTTTGGGGAACGAGTGAGGGTGACGGCAGGTTCCCGGTGCTTGATAAAGAAGTGAGGGGAATGGGATGCATTTGGTTAGTAGGCACTGATACTTGGCTCTGGACTTGCCGTGACACAGGCAGAATCATGTTCCTGTGCAGCCTTGCCTGGTGAAGAGCTTTTCCAAACAGGAAAGAGAAAAGCCATTGCTGTCTCCAAATGGGAAGAACTGTGCAATAAAACATAGTATCAGTGTCTGAGTAGGACTTGGCCTCCACCTTCACTGGCGGGGAGCTGTTTACCTTTCCCTTGTAGATGAGGTGTGTCCTGTGAGCAATCAATTTGAGGGTACATCCTGTGATACCACAGGCTTTTACCCTTGTTGGAAGTCATGAATGAGAGATTTCTTTGATCTTCAAAATTTCTTGTAAATGATTCTTCTGAGGAGCTGACTTCATTTATCATGATATCCTTGAATTAACATGATTGGTGTCATAACTGTAAATGATACTAAATGTTATATAATTATGAATGCTATTTCAGGGAAAAACTTGCATTCCACCTGGCGAAGCAGGAAAATGCTGCTCACTGATTCAGCTGTATAAAAAGGATTACCATAGAACTACAAAAGCCATCCAAGATGGAAAATATTTTTCTGATCTGAGCAAAGAATCTGACAGTATAGAAGACCAAATAAGCAAATATGTAAGGCTTAAACATAGAACTCATGCCAATGTACACTTCTTATGTGAGTCTTAAACTAACAATTAGTTTTATAATCTTCTTTAAGAGACATATTGGGAATAATTTTTTGTTATGTCCTGTGCACTAAGAGAGTTCCTGCAAAGTTTGAAGGAATTTGGTGGGCTATGTATATTAAAACAGGAGATGGATCACAATGAATTCCTGTTTAACAGTGGTGTCATGGAACTTGTACAGAAACCTGATGAAGACTGTAGGTTTCTTTTAAAATTAAATGTGACTTGCCATTGCTGACTTTCTTAGCTTTCTTTTGGAAGTCGTAAAGAACCTTTTATTCTTGCAAACTAACAGAGATGGGTGTTTATTCTGACCTTTTTTTTTTTACATTTTAGAGACAATCTTCTTGATTTTCAGGTTTTCTTAGACAATGCTAGCTGTCTTACAGCATGATACTTTTGTTGACCGTTAGAGAGAAAGTCCATAGAGAACTAACTACAGGAAAGGCATTTTTCCTGAGAATAGAAAGATAGTATGAGTAATTTAGGTTTCTGATCACTTCTCAATTCTGGGAAGTCTTTTAAGCCCTTCTAATTCTGCTAATAAATTACTGTGGGGTCACAAAACACCATTCCTGTTTATATGCTAGTTTTTTGCTGATATCAAATCTGACACAGTGTAGTCAGGAAATGATAGGACTACTACTGAATACCGTGTTTATAAATTTCCAGTACATGCGGAGGTGGAAATTTGGATGGAGAATTGGGGTCCATGTACTGACTTTACAGATAAACATGGGATCAAGATTACAGAGTATTCTGAGGAATTACCTACAGGCCAGGATAAGATGAGTGCTTTGCAAGGAGTTGTAGTAAAACTTTTGATGCCAAAGTTTATACCTTGAGGCAGTGGCTTTACCATCTCACTAGTGCAATTAAAATGTTTAGGATTTACATTCTGAAAGTCCGATGAGACTTTTTTTTGTTGTTTTAAAATCAAAAGTTAACCGTCTCCCAAAATTAGACATTTTTGAATGAAAAGCTTAGTTGGCAATGTTATAGGCACATAAATGCTCTCGGCTTTGTAGTGACAGTTAATGTAGGTTGATTTTTGTGATCTCCTAGCCTATGCTTTCTGGTTCAATCTTCAAATTCTCCTGTCTAATTGAAGTTCCTGAAAGGATTTAATACATAATATTAATCTTTAAAATATTACAAGTTGTACAAATGCTTTTACTATTTGACTAGGTGTTTAAATAACACTTAAGTATTTATGGAATTTAGAGTCCTTTTAGCTAAAATAAAGAAATTGGTGTATGGAATGACCCTAACTGGGTTTCTTCAGCTATGAAATTCTCTGCACAAAATAAATTGAATCTTTAGGTTTAAACAACTAACTCTAAGTAGCTTGTGAGTTTGCAAGCTTTTATATTCGTAAATACCAAATTTGAAAATGTAGCAAATTATAGGAACAAAATTCAAAACTGTTGAAAAAATGCTAAATCAATTATAATCGGAAGTAATTTTGTGATGCTTCCTGCTTCTGTCTTGCAGTTTAACAATAAAAAAATTGACGTTTTGATGCAGAAGCTAAGTGAAAATGAAATCCAGAATACTGTAAGTAAATTAAAATGTCTGTCTCTTTTTGTTGTATGCTGTACATCTTAAAGTGGCAACATCATGAGATCATACAATTTCAAGTGACAGTGGCAAAGTAGGAGTATTTGTGGTTTATTATCACAAAATGGAATCTTAGTTTTACAGCCAAAATGTTCATCAGTGTGCGTTACTGTTGCATTGTTGTGTACAGACATTAAAATAATTTCTTTGTTATTTTTTCTTCCATGAAGAACCTCAGGAGAAAAATAATTGAAAGGGAGAAACATGTTAAAGAACTTTCATCCAGGCTTCAGCTTGAAAAAGTGAGTGACCAATTCCGTTGGAATTAATGTATTCTTTCAGTGTACTAGATTCTTATTTACAAATTTTAAATTTTGAGAAAAGCAATTATTTCAAAGATCTATGAAAAAAAAGAAAATTCTGACAGATGTTTCCTACAGAAATGTCTTTAAACCATCAAAACTGTGTCCAAACCTATTAAGGGTACAGGTTATCCTTAACACTAACGTCCCATGGTTCAGGGAGGGGCATATATTTAGTCTAATGGCTTTTGGCTTCTTGTTTACAGATTTACAGTAGTTCTGGAAAAAAATACTTCTAATGAAATAATACAGAGTAAACTAAACAGGTACTGGTCACTGGTTTCCATGGCTCTTTGATCTCAGTGAGTAGGGAGAGGTAGTACTGGCAGCGGAGCTAGTATCATCTAAGGCTGACAAGACCTCATTCATTTTTTGAACCGAAGGAAGGGACTCGGTGCAGAAACCAACATAGAAGGAGAAGAATTGTCTGTCCTATATAAGGAGGTACTATAAAAGTTTCAAAATTATTTTACTGGTAGTTTAGCAATTTGTATTACAGTACTTGTATACCTAAAGTGCACTTCATGTGTATGCAATGCAGAGTGGTTCAGTGTTAGTGAAGGACAGAGTAGGCTCAGTTAAACCTTTAAGAGGACAGTGGTGTACTTCAGTTTTGTAACTCCTTGGGGTTTGTTGAGAGCCATGGTTCTTCTTTAAGAATTTTTCTTCGCTTAACCAAGAGAACATATCGCTTGGCTGCAGGATAAATTTAACTGGCTAATTGTAATAGAGGAGCCTTTGAGGGTGCCTCTTTTAATACCTGGCAATTGGCATGTCCATGTCTTTATTTTGAGGTGTAGCAGTATGTTTTCATATAAACATCCTTTTGCTTGAGAGTAGAAATTCTGAATAGAAAAGTTTATAAAGATTCTGAAGACCACAATGCCAGTAAACCTCAGCATTGATAGTATCTGCGCATCATGCTGTGCCCTGACTAGAGATCTGTCTAACATTGAACAATTTGGGGTGCCCAGCATCTGAAGGGATAAATTATTACCTATGCTGTCCCCTTGTTCCTTCTTATGTCATCTCCAATAAATGGCATTTTCATCAATACCTGACTGAGTCTGAGTCTGCCTTTCTTACTGGTATCTATAGTGAACACTTGCACGGGTGCATTACAATGCTCTTATAGTCTATACTGATAATATGACTTCTTTCTACCTGTTTTATTTCTTATTTAGAACGAGCCAAAGGAATCAATTTGCAAGAAATTTCGTAAAATCATCAGACCTCATTTCTGGTGACATAAATTGCCTCTTCCCTTATGCTTTATGTATCCCCCCAAAATTAGAGTTTGAATTAAATGTATCAGTACTTCTAATAGCAGGTGGTGGTCTTTGGTATTTAATGAAGATCAGTTCAGGTCTAATTAGGGCAGAGCTGATCAGTGTGGCTTAATTTTGGACTACCTGCTAGCTAGATGCCTTTTCTCAGCCTGGATTTCCGAGTTTGTGCTTCCAAGCCTTGTTCATACTACTTAAGGAGTCAGATTAAATTTGAGACATCAGTTATACATACATTCTTTCAAGTTTGTGAATTCTGTTTAACATGAATAGCATTTGTAACAAGTTACTTCTTGTGAATATACTTGAGACCATATTTTTTTCCAGCTTTTGAGGACATTCAGATGTCATTTAGAAACTAAGGCAAAGTAGAATATAAATGGCATCATGCAGCATATCTCCATAGACCAATAGATATGTGTTTATTTTTCTCTCTTAGGTCAATGTACAGAAAGAGGACCACTTGTCAAGATCAGTAAAGGCAGTACAAGCTCACCTGCAATGTCAGATTCAAAGAAAAGAAGTGGAAAATAAGGAATTAAAAGTGAAAATACAGGTCAACATATTTTTACTTATGTTTCAGTTTATCTGAAAAAAATAGCAGTCTTACTGTGGTCAGAGTTTAACTCAGATATGGGTGTTAAATCTTGAAGTACCACTTGAAATCAAACTCTTGGTAAAAGAAAAATCCCAAACAATAAAAATCATTAGCATTTATATTTTGCTCAGTCTGCCTGACCACACTATCTTAATTGCAAGGGTGGGGTTTTTTCTTCTCAACTTGTGCATACCAGCAGTACTGCTGAGGAGGAGTTAAGCACACACAGAAGCATTTGCACTCACCTAGCTGTGCTATCTAGAAGATAGATATCAATCACAAGGCAGTCTCCAAGTAGTCAATAAAAAGAGATAAGCAAGTCTCCAGGATGTGTTTCTGTTGTAAATTAAGGGTGATGAATCATCACCTGCTTCTTTTTATTGACTGTGAAGGAATCAATAAACCTGTAATACTGACTGAAAGAGAAACACTTAAGTCCAATGCCTAACCTAACATTGTTTAAAGTAGGTGACTTTCTTTCCATTTTCTCTTCTAAAAAGCAAGAGGTATATTTGGGCATTTGCATCAGTTACTGGCTTAAGAATAAGGCAAGGAGGAGGTCCTGTGTCAGAGGCTAGAGCTGTGTGTGGCCTCAGATTTCAGTATCTGAAACTTGTCAAGAACATAGGCATGAATGAGAGAACACTGGCTAAAAAATAATGTATTTATAATTCTTAACCTTTTTTTAGTGGCATACATCCCCTATTAATCGTATCATTTGAAGTTGCTAAGGAACCTATAGCAACTTAATTTCAAAAAAAGTAACCTATGTCTGTGTTTAAATACCTCGAGTTTTCTTCTGAATAAAAATTGCTTTCTTGTTCTACCTAGTACAATTACAGAATTCCAACATTTTCATTAGATAAAGTAACTTGATATACAGCTATTTCATTCAATCTTTATTTTAAAGTTTTGTTTGTTTGCTCTTCCAAAAGTGCTGAAGTCAGTTGCTAGCTTAAATCCTGGTGATGATTTTGTTACTATCTGGACAAAAGCTTGCAAAAGCTTAGCATTGCCCTTAGGAAATTAATTCTCTATTTAAATTTACCTCAGCCACTGAATAATGGCCAAAGCACTTATTCTTAATGTGGTTGTGACCTCCTGTGGTTATAACAGGGGATAACAGTTGTTTACTCATACCAGCAATTAAAGAAGTCTGTACATAGACTCAGATTTTCTATTTACTCTATTTATTGAAGGTGTTCTGCTGCCCCGCTCTGCCCTCTGCCCCCAAATCATGTCTTTGTTTATTAAATGCCCTATGAGCATCTAGATATGAAAACTACTTCCTGCATATTTGGGCCTTTTTATAATTTCAGTTTTTGAAGTAGTACTTTTACTTTTTGGTGAGTCCCAGTAGCTGAGACCATCTTTTACTTGGAAAACCACTTATATTTTGCACTGATTGTGGAATAGTTTTGGGGCCATTAGCAGGACCTATACTGCTGGATATGCTCTCGTGCATGATATGAGTATTTTATAGCAACTGGCAAATAGTATCTTGAATAAGGCTGGCATGTTAACATAGTCAGTAAATGGCATGTCATTCTGGTCTTCATTCATGTAGAACATAATTAAGTGTCAGATCTAGACTTATAGGAAACTAATGCATTAATCATTCTTACAATTAGGATATTATCATGTTTTAATGTCTGGTCTGTTTTTCTATTCATATTTAAATAACAAGGGTATATAGATGAAAAATAAAAAAGTCACAAAGTTAGGGAGGTCACCTTCCTGGATTGGATGGGATCAGTACACTGCGTTCATCAGCGTGATACAAAAATCTAGTTAGTCAGAAAAATTAACAGCAACAGAAAAGCTAATATAATAACAGTTGTAGAACCCAGCTTTCATCTCAATTGCATTGTGCACATTTGATAGTATATTTAAATGCATTAAAACTGCATTTAATGCATATGTATCTTTAGATGTATTTAAATAAAAATACATTCAATGCAAATGTATTTTACTTCCTGAGTGCTGCAAAATCAAGCAGTCAGAAAATGATAAGTTATACTTACAATGTGTGATTTACCGCTGTGGTTTAAGCTATATCATAGCCTGTTTTAACTACCTTTAAACAATTGTCTGCTGTGGGCAAGGCAGTGCTTAATCTTTTCTTTTTGCATTTTATCCTTTACTATCCATTGAACACAAAATACAACTTTCCATGAAAAATAGTTTATTCACTAAACAATTCTGTTTCATTAATAAAGTGGGGCTGTTATATGCATGGGAAAAAAGTCAGAGATCTTGCAAGAAAATAGTAAATGGTCATCTAATCACAGACCATATTGTAATACCTATATTCAAGGAAAGACACCAGCTGTTCCTACCTTTTCAACTTAAAAAAACCCAAATCCAAGATCTTAAGTTTCATTTTCAAATTTCTTATACAGTTATACTGAATATACTAGTGAATATCACTAGTAGCATCATTAAGGTAATATTCTTTCCAGAAATCAGTCACTAGGGATGATGAAACCACCTTTATTATTCTCCTCATTAATAGGTTTAACATCCATGCCATGCCTTCTACATTGAAATTCTGCTTTCATTTCCAAGAGCACACAGCAATGGTTATTTTGCTGTCTTTCCCCCTACTCCTGCCTGCTTCTGTACCTTCTCGACCTCTTCTCTTGATCATCTTTGTAATGGGTTTCCCACGATGTATTTTCTCTTGCCTGCTGCTGAACATATCTTGGCTAGCTCCTTATGTCAATCACAAGATTTGAGATACAAAGACATTATGGAAACAGATTATAGACGTAATTGGTATTCTTGATTATGTTATGTCACAAAATGATCTGTAAGGTACAGAATTTGAAGAGTTGATGTTTAATTATACTGCAGACTTTAGAAAAGAAAATAGCGGAGTGGAAACTTCAAGTTGGTGAATACAAGCATCAGATGTTAGCCTTAAAGGAAACAAGTGAGCAAAAGAAGACTGCTCTGAAAAAAGCAATCAGGTCCCAGAAACAAAGAGCTCGGCACTTTGAAGCAGCTGTAGAAAATTTAACCTCCAGAATAAGAGAACGTGTGAGTGACTATGCTGGGAGCAATGATATGCTGTGTTGTTTAAAATGAACAATTGGGAGACTTTAATCTGTGGAAAACAGGAAAAGTTGGTTGGTCATGCTGTGTTTGTATCTCCCTTATTTTTTTACTCCTTGGTTAAGGAAAAAAGGTTGTTGTAAGTGACAGGCAAACTGTTACTGCATTCACTGCCTTCGCTTTGTTAAAATTTAGTGAATGTCTTAAGCCATGAGGTTGTACACTTCAAACTGCTGTAAGTAAGAGGACTCTGATCAGCTTTCACTGACACCTCTCCTCATCTTCCTGTTAGACCTTTATGGATATTCATTGAGAAGTATAGTATGTTAACTGAGAATCCATGATTGGTGTTTGAAGTCTTAGCTTTCTGTTTCTAAACTGCTTGCTCTGAACCTTTTCAAAATCCAAGTACAAAACTTCCTTAATCCAAATTGTTCCTTAGATTCTTGCCCTGCATATCCCTACAGTGTGTAGTTGTTCAAAAAGGCCAGGTGGATCAGAACTGTGCTGAGATCTTTATTGCCTTATTTAGATTTCCTAGAGTATATTTTCATACTCTTAGATGTGTTGCCATCATTTTGGATATGTTAGTATTAAAGATATATTTTTCCAGTTAGTATACCAGGAGGTGGTTAATAGCGTTTTTTGTTTTCTTCGATCTTTGTGAGAAAACAGTAGTGAATCTTTAAGTACACCTAGCAGTACAGAGGGATGGCAGTTAACTCCTGAACTTTTGATGTTTTGTAGTCACACTGTTGTTTTCTTTGTTTTTCTTTCATTGAAGACCTAGTTTCAAGATACACATGTTGGTTAATTATCCATAATTCTACAGTTGATATACAATGCCAGTGTTTAACTGTGTCTCTGCCTTGAAAGTATGTCTGTACTTAGACTTTAATATTTTTAAATGTGCATAGTTTTGTTTATTTTCTTTTGAGATAAGACAAAATTTACGTTGCTTTGTACTAGGGAGATCCAATAAAGCCATCTTATATTACCTATCTCCCGTGTTTAAAAAAAAATTGTAGAACTAGATGGCATTCTTCAGTGGCATTCTTTTGCTACCTAATCTGTAATTCCTGTATTCTCTAGGAAGTCAAACTGTCTGAGATCCTGTCAGTTTCCGATATCTGGAAAAATGACCATGGTAGAATGGTTGAAGGAAGGACAACATTACAAATTCAAACAGAAGATCTTAAAAAGTAAGTTACATTATTGGCCCATTTTTTTTTGTTTCTGTAGTCACAGTGTTGATAGTAGTGTAGTACTCAGTGTTGACAATGTAAACAAGTTTATATATTCTTATTTTAAGATTCTGAGCAGAATCGAGAAGTTGGAAACTAGAACAAATTTAAGATTTTTAGCCTTCTCTCTGCTGCATTTCAAAAGGTTTTTTAAAACTTCATTCCCCTATACAAGTAAGGAAGATTTTCTTTCCACTGCATACTTCTGATCAGCCTGAACTTGCTAGTAGCTACTATGCTGATTCCTTAGAACCACTTGTTTAGTAACTGGTTCAACAGCTTGAGTGTTAACCCTTGTGTCAACTGCAATATATAAGAAGGTTCTTAGGCTTCTAGTTTCTACTTCAGACTAATGATGGCAAAATTATTTCAGTTCCACTAATGTCTCAGGCCACTGGAGGATAGAGAAGGGTTCCTCTTGGACGAGCATTTGAACAGTTCATTCTTGTAAGCAGAAGCAACACAAAATTGTCCAGCCTCATTCAAACTATGCAGTCAAATCTTACTGTACACGAAGTATATGCCATTGTCTTTGGCAAACAGTGACAAATATCCTGTTACCTCTTCTGTCAGTAGAAATATGGACTCTAATTCAAACAAGCCAAAGAAACTGATAGGTGCCTTTATGCTAGGTCTCAGGTAGAATGTTTATTTTACAAAAAACTTGATTCATGCTCAAATATGTAACAGCTCAGATTCAGGCTTGCCTTCTGTTTTTGTTTTAGAAAAACTGATATTTCTGAAAATATTTTCAGCATATTTTAAAATTTAACAGTTGTTAAGGTACATGACATCAGTCCAGAAATCTGCCCACCCCTCTATTGGTCCGGTGTAGATGAGGAGGCATCTAGGAAAGAATAAGAAAAGGGAAGCATCTATGATACTTCCCCCAAGTACTCATTCTGCTTCCAACAGGTTTTTGCTGTTTTTATTTCAGCTGAAAGTATAAGTGTTTGCTTGAAGTGTACCATTCTAAGAAGACTTGTTCAACTAGGCAAACAGCGAAACAAATTTAATTGTTTAACTTCATTAACATGAAAAGCAAATGGTGAGGCATAGCACAATTTGTTGCTTTTGACAATGGAAAATACCATTCCTATCATTTTGGATAGTTTTTTATTTCAATAGATGCTGCTTTCTTGGGATGCTTAAATGCATTCTCCCTTTTTTTTTTTTTCCAATAAGAACAGTGGAGGAGTATGTGTTAAGGTACCATTTAATTTGCATAGTGATAGTTTTGGAAGCATTGTGTATTATACAGAAGTTCTTGCATATCTAACAAGGCAGATCACAAGCCTTTTGGAAGACCTGAAAAGAAAGGAGAAATGGAGAAGAAACTCAGATGAGGAAATTCTTGGAAAGTTAAATTCTATTAACTCTGAAAATGAAAAGATTTACCTTGAAAATGAAAAATTAAAGGTGAGGTCATTATAAATCATTGTTGAATGGCTCTGCATTTCTGAATCATTAATGAAGTAACCACATAAATTCCCTTTGGGCCTTCTGTCTAGAGATCCCAAACCTGTAGAATAAATTTTGCCATCCATTTTTTACAGTAGTGGAAATGAGGCATTGAGAATTTATCAGTGTAAATCTATGACAAAGCTAGGAACAGGGTTGTCTAATCATCTGTGTGCTTAACCAGGATGCCATTTATTTTACTGTCAGTAGCTACAAATTGCTTAACTAGAAATTGTTCTTTTATGTTGTAAAATTTTCTGTCAAATTAAAGAACTGAGTTTAGCTCAATAATTAATTCCAACTTTTAAAGGGTTTACAGGTTTTGTATTGTATTTATACTCCAAAGTAAATGTCCTCATGAGCTGACAAATTAACTGTGAGCTACCATTTTTGTTTGATAGAATAAATAATTGTGGCACTCTTTTTAATGCTTGCAGGTGACTTGCTAGTAATATTGTATTGTAGATTTTGTTATTTTAATAACACAATTTTTATATTTTCTATATTTTAATCAAGGCTTCCCTTGCTACATTGGAAAGCAGTACTGTTTCTGTTGAAAATGAGCTGCTAAATCTACAAGAAAAGGCAAAGCTGCAGGAAAATCTTGTTGAACAGTATAAAAGTCAGGTGACTAGCATATTTGAAATGTTCAAGTAGGTTTTTTAAATTTTTAAGCAGTTTTGAAGAAATTATAAAGGTTTTGTTTGTAATAAAATGAGATGTATTATCATGGTCATTGTAATACTGTCATAACATTGAGGGTGATAGAAAAGAGTGCCATTGCAAACCATATCGAAGAATAGTTTCCACACTATTACTAGTACATGTAATCTTTACTGGATTGTGTGAAGCCCAAATGAAGCTCCTTGAAGCCAACAGAGCTAATTACATACTTGTTAGAAAATATTTGCTTCCTAAAAAGCAAGTTGGAAAGCCAGTAAGCTATATTTTAAAAATAAAATTTGAGTATGATGACTTTAGTGGATATATCCAATGATATTTTACCTCTCCTTGGTCATATCTTTGTTTCCACGTTCCTAAGAACAGTCAGCCAATACTCAAGTACTGTTGTAAGAGTCTTTTTCTTTACATAGGTAGCTCCACATTGAAAATACCAGCAAAACATACAAACCAGATTTAAAATGGGCTTTATTCACACATTCAAAGTTGTATATATTTCTGCTATAGTATAGACACCATTTCACCAACAGTCTTCACTTATCTCTCTTTAAAATCATTGACAAAAGACATGACACAAAATCCAAGCGCAGCTAGTGTGTCTTGTCTGTGGAATGCATCACCACAATTAAAGTTGTTGCCAGCTTTAAGATGGGGTGTGTCATTCCAAGGAACAGCCAGCCTTAAGCTGTGAGTGGGATGAAATTCCCTGGCTTGTGGCTGTGGTGACTCCAGATGGGAACTGTCGGTGGTACTTGCTATCTGGGACAAAAGAGTGAGTCATGCTGGCTGCTTCTGTAGCACAACTGTAGCTCATTCTCCATTGCTGAAGACAAAATACTAGTATCAGAGTGCTCTTTATCGGATTACCCTTTTATGCTTGCTGTGGTGAGTAGGATAATGAAAATAAATAACTTAATATAATGACAAATACTGTGATTATATTCAGAAATCAAAGGTTTTCCTCTATGCTTCATACTAATGATTCTATCTTTCCTGTATTTAAAAGAAATACCTTGCCAATGTATGTGAAAAATATATCTTGTTCTAGGTACAAAAATTACAAACAGCAGTGGAAGAATTGAAATCCAGATATGAAACAGTCTTAGATGAAAACAAAAGAATAACAGAAAACAAATTTTTAGAATTTGATAAGGTAAGTTTTTCAGTAATAAAGCAAGTTTCCAGACAATTCTGTAGCACATTGATCTTTCCTACATTATTGTGATCCACTTCTTAGAAGTCAGAAGGTACTGGCTCTTTTTCTTTTTTCCAATTATAAAATTTTTTTTAAATTCACTGAATGTTTTACTAAATCCTACATGTGAGCTAGTGTTTTTTTGAATACTACACAATTGCAAATGGGTGAGAAATAGTTGCCAAAGTAATGACTGAAGAGTTGGGCTACTACTTTAGAATTTGAGAATTCTTTTATCACTTGTAAAAATGTGATTTTGTTGTGGATGATTTTAAAACTAGATCTCTCAACAGAACAACTGTGAGAGTTGTGTAGGAAAGCGAATTTACTGTAAGACTGTTTTGTGTGTTTTAACTAGCAGTTAAAACAGAGAATCCATACAGAGATGAGTTTTGAGTTTTTCAGCAGATGGAGCTGAATACTGGAACAGCGTTAGCACATTCTTAAGCACCAGAAAACAATACAAAATTGGTAGGAAAATCACTTTCCTCAGTTCCACAGCTCATCAAAATACATACTCTTTTAAGCGATAAAGCTGAGGCAGGGACAGGTTTTTCATCGCCTGCAATGTTCTGCAGGGAACAGATTTAGTCCTCACAGAGAAGTGTTTTAGGTGTTCATTTTATTTCATACTAACTTTATTATTCCATGATTAAGTTGTAGAATGGAGAAAAATACTTTCTGATCTCATAAATACTATTTGCACAGCATTGTATGTGGCATTGTATATGGTATTAGGTGTTGCCCTCTTTTCGAATACTGCAATAGTTGTATAGTCAGAATTTTTCCCGCAAGCTGCTTAGTGTGTCTGTATGCCATCTCCCAAAATATATTGCAATAAAAACAAAAATTAAAATTTGGGTATTGCATGATGAACTACTAACACTCATAATTTTGTAAATGTGCATTGTGAGTGTTACTGAATCTTTAGTGTAGTCACCAGTGGTGAACTTGTAACTGTCAGTATTTTATAAAATAGGTGATATTATGCAACTTGTATAGAATTTCAGATTTATTACATGGAAAGCCATTAATTATTACAAAAATTAATTTATGTTTTTACATTTACATTTTTCTCCTGTGATGCTAGGATGCAGGTGAGGGACAAAATGGAGGCTAAGTTAAAGGAGTTAGAACATGTTTGTGACTTGCTGAAAGTAGCTGAGCAAAAGCAGCAAGGATATCAGGGAAAGCTTACGTCCTGGGAAAGGATCTGTGAATAGAAATGCAAAACCCCTAGGGAGCTGCAGGTTCAGGTGTTTAGAACATGCTGATTTTTTTTAAAGATAAATGAGAAAATTATGTAGAAGGAAGTCTCTGGAACATTTTTTTCCTATTAGCATGTGTGACAGTTGTGCTGTTTCCTTTGTTATTTGCTTCTTAAACCAAAAGTTTCTTCTGTAGAAATAGCATAATGCAAATAAAACTATTGCCAACTGTATTTACATGATTTCAGTATGTGACAAGACTAGTTACTTTTAGATTCTCTGTCATTTAAGTGAGTATATTATTAATCTTTTTGAATACTTGTGTCCTGAGATGTGTTGCAGAATTCTTCCCTGGAAATAAATGTGCAAGTCTGGTTATTATTATAGAGAATACTGTGCTAGCATGAATGACAAAGATGTTTGAATCAGTAGGGTGTGCAAGGGTCTTAATCGTCTTCCTTTGTCAGTGGGAAAACTTCAGCTGAAACACAGTGATTCTGTGTCCCTATAGACTTTATATGCTTATAAAAAAAATGGCTCTTGATTTTGTTTTAAATTTCTTCTCAAGATGATCTTTATAGAGTCAACTTTTGTTCTTGTTTATATAATTTTAAATACTCCTTCCAGGAATGTGCATAAACTCATAAACTCATCCTTGCTTACAAAAGTACTTAAGCAACAGCTAATTTTGAGGCACATATGTAAAATGATGTGTGTAGTTTTAATCTAACTACATGTTTTCCTGAATAAATGCAAAAAAGACCTATTAAATATAGTGAAGGAATTTGGAATATAATCACTAGTCTGGTGGAAGAGCAGTTACAGTTCAGCATTAAATCTTGGTAAAATCCTTTAGAGATTCTGACCCTTGATCCTATGACCAGAATTCAGAAGAATTCCTTCTGAAGTAACTGGACCATGTACAGAAACCCTCTTCTCGGTTCAGCTGGACCAGAACATCAGTTTACTACCCTTCTGATGAAGGTTTCTTCTAGCTGAACAGTCTATAATTCACATAAACAAAATCAACCAGATCAGCTCCAATTACTGGATGGAATTGCTTGGAGTAGTCCAGAGAATGATGTAGGTAGTCCCTTCAACAGCAGTGCCAGCAGTCTGGTGATGCTGCTATTTATTGCTAATCCGCTGGTGGTGGATGGTAACAAGAGCAATATTCTCATCACTACTGTTACAAGATTTAAAAGAAAACATAAAGGTTTGTCAGTCTGGATGCTAGTCAGGGGAAGACAGTTTGGCTTCTTGCTTTCTTCAACTGATGCTACTGATATGTTTCTTTTTATGAACTTGATTGTCTTTTTTGATATTTGCGGCTTGCTAAAATTCTTCGCCAGTGCTACACTGTTCTTCTGTGATAACTGTATATATATGTGGTATCATTTTATGCTTCCTGTGACTGTAGTATGAGGGAACTTACATTTACTGGAATCTAAAGCTTAAAGAGTCAAAGTTCACAAGGAGGTAGACCTGACCAACTCCTAGTACACAAGGCTGCATGAGCAGCATATGGGTGTTGTTAGGACTTCATTATATAACCGATTTTCAGTTTTAAAGTGTTCACGCAAGGTTTTAGTATGCTACTTTGGCTGTATTTCATTTGTGTTAAATACAAGATAATGTTTACTTGAATATAATATAGTGTTTACCTGAAATTACAGTTAAATTGTTTAATTGGATTTTAGTAGGCAAACTTACTTTACTCTGTAATATTCTGTATATAGGTCTCCAACTAGAAACGAATTGTCATTTTCACAGGAGGAAGACAGTGTAGCTTCTGTGGGCAGTCATTCCGTAGAAGAAGAAAACCATAACATTCAGAAGAAATATGAAGATCTTAAAAGGTAACTTTAAAAAATCTGACTGCAATTAATTCCTACACTTTTCTGCTATAGTGAATTATAATGCATTAATCTGTTTTGCATAAAGGCAATTAGAAAAGATGGAATATCAAAATGAAGAACTTGCTTGTCAGCTCAAAAAAGAAGATGAGACTCTTCGGTGCAGTAAATTGCAGCTTGAACAGAAAATTTCAGAATATAATGGATTAACTAGACAACTGGAATCTGCTTTGGAAGAAGGGAGAAAAATGGTATTGATTTAATACATCATCCATAAAATAAGATCAAGATAATCTTGTCATCTTGACTTTTTATATTTTATAATAGCATTAAAAACAAATGTGCTTGAGAAGGAAAGGTGGTACAAGATTATTCTGCATGTAGGGAGCAATACTAAAAGGTTACTGGGAATTTCTGCATGTTTAAATATGGATTGCCCAATTCAACTTCTTTGGGGAATTTGGATCATATTGAAATTAATGACAAAGTTCAGTGGACCAACATTTCACTATCTCTTTTTGGTGACAAATCAAAATGCTTTAAGCACCTAATATAAAATCCCACACATACGGCAGAAACTTTCTTAACAAAAGCTTAATCTTGTCTTTTTCTTTCTTTCTTTAGAATAGGCAGCTCACAAGAACTTCGGTGTTGAAACCCTTCCCATTTTAGAGGAAGGCTTTGCACATTTTCAATATTAAGCAGAGATTTGTAATTTGTAGAAAGGATGCAAACAGTAAATCGAATGAAAGAGGAAATGCGACAATTTAGATTGCAGTGAATTATATTAGCTTAATCAGAAAATATGTATGAAGTTGTAATTTCTCAGATTAATCATGTTGAAATAAACTATCTGAACTAGCTTAGTACTGTCTGAGCCTATTGATTTGGTTTTGAAAAAATAAGAAGTTTCACTTAACTTACAAATAAATTACAAAACTGTCTCCCTCCCAATAATGCTACTTTTTTTTTCCCAAATTGAAACCTTTAGCCAGAATATTTCCCAGGTTTGTTTATTTTCTGTGCATGGAAAATAACTAAATTATTAGATGACAGAATAGGAAATAGAGCTATTAATGCTAATATATAAAAAAATAAGTTGGTTTGGGCTTTAAGTGGAAGTAAATATACATAATTTCTCTCTCATTACTATTATAGGTAGCTGAAGAGTTGGAAAAAATGTCATACAAAGAGCAAGCCCTTCAGACAAAAATGCTAATTCTTGAAACTGAATTGAGAGAGGGGCAAGAAGAGAAAAAACAACTCCTCTGCATATTTCACCATGTGAGTAAATAATACTGTTTATGAGTTAAGAAACTACTTATCACATCACTGTTTACAGTAAAAATTCCTTTTACTGAAAAACACTGCTAATACAATTGATACACACTTTTGGAAACAGCAAATTAATTCAACTTGACAATATATTTTGTATTTTGAAATTTCTAATAGACTTAGCAGATGTCCAATCTAACTAAATCACTGGAATAATACTGAGTTTACATCTCTCATTCAATCCAGTTTTCCCAGCAAGGCAAAAAAGCAAAAAAATATATGAAGTTGTAATTTCCCTCTCAGATTAAAGTTCAGTAAGCCTACCTAGTTTTGAATAAATGCGTAACAGTTCCATAATGATGTCATGATCTGTTTTTTTTAAATTTTCCTGAGTTGATTACAAGAATCTGATCTTACTGGAATTTGTGAAAAAGTTTCAGTTTATATACCAATGTGGCACATATATGTAGCTAGTAACAAGAGATACTCTGATTTTTCAATGTATCAAGACTTTAAATGCCCAGGCTTTGATGTGTTGATACTTAACCTATTCAGCAAAGCCACAGTCTAAGAAGGTATTTGGGATGAGTAATATTCTCAGAAAACAAAAAAAATAAACCTGATGTATTATTTTATCTAATCCAGAAAATTTCAGCAGATTTTTCTATTAATAAAATGTCAGACATAGCTGAATTCCCTAGACTAGTGGTGTCAAATCATTTGCTTTAATCAAAGTTTTGATACAGTTAGAGATTTGTCCTGTAATCAGTGATAATCAGCTGCAAAGCTATTTAAAATAAACATAGAAGATACTGAAAAGGTTTACTATCACTCTCCTACACTTTCAAAGAAAATGTTCTGTATTCTGACTTGAAGCATTCAAGATTAAAATCAAGTCAACCTAAATGCAAATTCTATTCAAGATTTAAATAAGACATCAGAGATATGCTTCTGAATTCAGTATGTTTTAATTAATTTTTATCTGTATCAAGTGCAACTTAATGTCTGCATTTACCTCAAGACAAAAGTGTTCTTAACACAATATCAGACATTGGCTAGTGATTTATTCTACTTCAAATATTTTTTCATAGTAGTTTCTTAGTATGTTAAAGTAAAATAAAAAATAAAGAAAATTTTCTTGTCTTTTGTCCTAGAAAAAATGTTTTCAAATGATTTCCATTTGAAGCTTACAGTTAAATTATAAATGTGAAAGATATATATATATCTTAGAGAAGAAATGTTCTAAATTAATTAATTGATTTTTATTCCAATTACATTTACATATAACAGAATGCATTATGGAAAATGATAAAATGGTCTTATTCCTGTTGTTGTAGTGAAAGTGCAAACAAAATAGGACTGTGAAGGTAACTTTCTTCAGTTATTCATTCTAACCTGATTATTTTTTTTCTAAAGCTGGATTTAAATCTGACAACTATAATTAATTTTTTTAAAAAATTAATTATTTTAACCAATTAGCATCTGAAATCTGTAATAGACGTAAAAGGGAATACCTGAATCTCTGTAGTGTTTCTGTAACAAGTGATCTATGGTGTGCATCATATGTATGGAACTAATGAGCAGGTAATACTGCTATCAAGCATCTTTTTTATATAAGGAACTATAGGTGTCAAAAATAATGTTTCATCAGAGATCAATAACAGATGTTTCCTTGAAAAATCAACATGAGAGAGAGTGTTAAGTCCGTAATAGATTTCAGATGCTAGGAATCTTTCATGATAAAAATTCACAAGGTTAGTTTCTATGTTCCCAGACCTTTTTTGGATTATAAACCTATTCAAACATGTTCTGTTTGGTCTTGACTCAACATAAATAAAGCTTCAATGTTTTGAGGCCTTTTGGGGAACTTTCAGTTTTGTGGAGCCTCTGAAAATTTTTACAGGTAAATAAGGCTTATAAAAAATAGGTACAAGTTGTGTTGCATAATTGTTGTTGTTAATTTGTATTTTATTTCTCAGGTGCATTGCATTTCTCTTTTTTTCTTTAGAATGAAAAGCACCATGAAGTACGTTTGAAGGAGCTGGAGAACAGCCTACAGAAGTCAGAGAACAAGAACCAGAGCATCCAGAATTATGTGCGCTTTTTGAAAGCTTCATACATAACAATGTTTGGCTGAATTCTTTAATTTCATTTATTTAATAATAAAGAAACTTTTCAAGATTTGGCTTTAACTCTTGTTGGAGGCAAGGATGTAGAGGCCTTACAGTATTTTGCAGGACTGAGTACTATAATGTTAGTTCTTCCCTAGGAAAACTTCTGCTGTGGGCAAGGAGAAGCAGGTCAGTCATCACTATATATCCTACTGGCTGGTCACGTATGGAAAATTTACCTGATATTACTGATATAAATATTTGTATTATTCATGAAACAGAAGTGAAAAGGCAGACTGCGTGACAATAGTGACAGGTTTGTAAGTGTGGGGTATGCACACAAAGTTGTAAATTGGTCTGTGAATTTACCACGTGTTAGGTCTTGTGCTCTAAAATTTTACATGTGGCTTTATAGGCCATAGAAATGCAGATGATCACAGATTACCTTTCAGTTCGCATGGGGGAAGAGAACACCCATGGACTGGTTGCACAGTAATTTGCATATTAATATTATATATTTGTCAGTCATTATACTTCTGTTACTGCAGAAGTCTGGTTGCCTTAGATAATGATACCTAGCCTATGAAAACAGATAACATCTTAGAAAGCGTTTGGTTCCCTTCCTTTCTTTTCCCTATAGGTTAGCACCAATACAACATGTGCTACTGTACTGCATGAAATAGTTGCCGCCACAAGGCTGTCTCATCCATCCTTTTTTCCCTACATCCCGCTATGATCAGGAGGATACTATAGTAATATTTCATAAATGTAAGTAGGAAATTATTTTAGATACAGGTACAGTTTAATCTCTGGATGTGTTGGTATACCCTTTCATAGTGACACAGCTCCAGTAAAGGTATTTCAGTATTTGTGTTTGAGTACAAGAGCTGCTGTTCTCTGAAGTGAATAAGACTGATTTATGCCTCAGGTTAAGCACATGTAAATATTCAGCTGGTACAGGGCTATCACAGAAACCAATTCTGAGAAAGTAATTGTTTTTATAGATATATGCTGTGATATGTTTTTTTGAAAAGTAGTAAATTCAGTTAAATGTATGTAATTCAGAATGTGTACTTAAAGAAGATATTTTTTGACTGAAAGCATAAGTTATTTCATACATGGACAATACATGTTTGCTAAACGTAGTATTTCATTGTTAGCTATTTATAATGTCTAGAATGTTGATGTTTTTTTCTTTTATTACAAATGCTTATCCATCCTAACAAATACTGATATGTGCTTATGGTCGGCTTGTGTGCACTTTTTAAAAGTAAAATTATCATTTATTATATATGACATGCTAGTAGCAGATATTTCTGTTAAAATTTGGGGGCTTTTGCATTACATGCACACACTTATAACCATATTTATATTAATTTTGTTCTGCTTGTGCTGCTTATAAAATATCAAAACCTTTTTGAAGGTCATCATGTAGGAAAGAAAGATTTCAGAAATAAAGTGTTGACTACAGTCTGTGCCTGTTTTTTAAAAGGTCATAATGGAAAATTGTATGCTTTTCATTGATAAATGATACAAAGATGTACAGTAGCTTGATTTCAGCCTATCTTTTACTATCCAGGAAAGTAGATTTTTTTTTTTTTTTTTTCTTCTTGTGTCATTTTCAAGAAATAGATCAGGAATTATTAAAGTTGCTGATGGCTTCAGGTACCTCTTTACCTCTAAATGTCTACAAACAGAATAAATTTAAGATATGTCAAAGTCTACATGACTTGATTTAATTTGTAAAATTAGAAATTTTTATTTTTTCAGCTCAAACCATAGTTTCCATTCTATTCATCTAGACTTTCTTTCCTTTTCTTCATATTCAGTCACTGGAATATACCTTCTTGATCTTTGAAGTCTTAGAAATATCTTAAAAATTAAGACAGCATTTTCCAAATGATGGTGATGTTTTTATGGCTCTCTATTACTGATTATGGTAACAATAAGGCTACTAGTCACAAAGATCACTTACTTTTTCTCTATTCCTTTTTGAATGGTTGCTAACTGGTCATGTTATTTGCATTTAAAATTTTTTTAGTTCGTTTAGAGACAGAAGTTGCTGTGGGTTTTTTTAATAAAGAAAATAATTTTAATTATTTTACTAACTATATAGGGATCTGGCATTTACTCTAGACCACTGCTTGTATTTTTAGTAACTGTAAAATACAGCTGAAGTAGTTCTTAGCTTTTTCATTTTACAACATAGAAAGCTGTGTGTCACGCTGCAGAATTCTTGGGTACAGCTATACTGAATTGATTATTTTGGGAGTCTAATATTTTTCTTTAAAGCAATTTATTTTTACTGTCTGCATCACATAGCAAAGTGACAGTCAATTTTCTAGGAAGAAACGGACTCATCATGCTTTCTTTTCTGGGAGTTTTCATCTCTAGATGGTTTTAGAAGCCCTTGATAACAGTGGTGTTACTGGCATCTCGCCTCTCAGCCTTTTTTCAAATGAGATTTTGATTTAGCATTTCCCCCAAAAATGCTTAATATGCTGCTGCAGTTTTCATATACAGTTAGATAAAACATCTTACTGCTTCAAATATGTACAGAAAAACTATCAAAACAACAGTTCCTGGTCCACACTGTACCTGCTTATATGATTATGTTTTCAGTAGAAACCAGAGATTCTGTGTGAAAGTTTGACCATATTTTCAATGACGTGCTTACCCAGTAGAAAGTCTTAAAGAGATTTTAGCTGGGTAAGAACAGAATAAAGAAATAAGATTAAAATGCTAGTATTCTCTATCCCACAGTATTTAGAAGATTTCCTAGTAAGAAGACATTTTTACCATAGACTTACTAAGGTACATAGTCAAATGTTATGCATTGTATGTGTTGTAGGACTTTCTGGTTTTGATAAGATCTTGTGTTAATTTTTCACAAGTGCTGACTCAGTATGGTCCAAGGTACATAAGAGAGCCCATGGCTGAACTGATACTAGTGTCTTTTTGCAAATCAAACCAAAGCCATCTGTATCTATATCTATATATTGCTTTATTTGCTACCCATGTTAAATAATTAGATCTTTTTCTGTAGACTCTTCCAGGAGTGGCTTAAGTGTGATTGTTATGGCCCTGTTTTTGGGTCAGTTTGTCCTGTCATTTATAGCTGGGTGCAGAGACACTCTGCCAGCAGGACATGCACAATTTAAAAGCATAGAGCAGTCATTTGTTGGCTAGCACCCACAGGAGGTAGCCAGGATTCAGTGAGCTATTAGGCCAAGCACAAGTGTGCTCTCTACCTCTCTAAGCTATGTGCTGGCCAGGCAGGCATCAGGCAGGTGGGAATAGTCAGGCTCTGGGGAACAGATCCCACTGTCGCTGGTTTCTCCTCTTCCACCAGCTTTGTCCTCACTGGTGACTTTCAAAATTGCATTTTAAAGTGCAATTTTGAGATCACGCTGCATTTAAATCTGTATACTGATGCATCTGTTTCTTAACGGGACAGGATTTCAGAGCTATGAAAATGAAGTGCTTTGAGGATGGCAGAGATGCTTTCTAGCCAGTGCATTTCCATATTCAATCATCATTTCAGAGCTTTAATTAGGTTAGATTGTAAGCATGTAGAGTCCTGAGATTGGCAGACCTTAAAGAGTTGACCTGATCTCCCTACTCCTGCAATTCTTTATTTGTGATAAAATGGACAGTAACACATCAGTGTTTCTTGCTGGTTTTGAGAAATAAAGGATCTGAAGTAGAAGATCATTATCTTATCATGTGCTTTAAATTTGTTCATGTATGGGAACAGAATTTAAAGCAGAAGCATGAGTCTTAGGGCTACTTGGGGCCCTACCCCCTTTAATCCTGTCTGCCAAGTAGCTTATTATTAGTGGCTTAAGGTTGATTGATGAAATTTGTCTATTTCCTATCTATGACACAGAAACTGCTATAAATCCTATTGTAAGACGGAGTCTTTCCCGTAAGAGCACAGAAACTCAGTAATTTCTCTCTGGAGACATGCCTCCATGAGGGATACCTTTATAGAAGCCACATAGCGATCATTGAGCTCCATATGGATGACTCCTCAGTCCAGTGTGATAGGTTACTAGCACACCATTTCTTCTGACTAGTCCTTTCATCTATTTAACGGTGAATTAAATCAACACTTGGATTTTTGTAAAAAGGCTAAGGACGGACCATTATTAGAGAGCTAAAAATATCTTCTGCTAGAATTGTGTCCAGCATCCTGCCTCAGAAGAGAGTCAGATTAGCCATTTTGTGACAAAATCACTTGTTGGTGATTTTCCTACAGGAAAAGTGACTTGTCTTCCTCCACTGACAAGCTGTTTAGCAGTGTAACATCTGCGTACAGCCCTTACTGTGCTGGGGGTCTAGAGCTGGCCAGCACAAACAGGGATCAAATCAGGGCCCGGTAGGAAAGGGTAGTGTGGGGTGTGAAGTAGATGCAGTGATTTCATACAGATTTCTTTTTGCTTTTTCAACAAGTTTCCTGTGGATCTTTTTAAGGCTGACATAGCTCAAGCGTGTTGCTTAAGGCCAGAGAAGTGTGAGCACTGTGTTGGTGCCCACTGATGGGGAATTCAAACAGTCAAAAGCATGAATTTATTTCAGTCCTACAGGTCACCCTGTTACTTATTTGGGTTCAGAATATTTTCTTCTGTACTTATGGCTGAACAGTAATCATTTAGCAGCTGTCACTCGATAGTAAAGATTCAAAACATCTGAAGGTGGAGTGTGTTTTATGTTGCCCTCTACATCTAACTGTACCCTTCATTCAGGATTCTTGGTGTAATGCTGTTGGCTTGCAACTTTGGATAAGACCTTTACAGCTATTAACAGTTCAAAGAAATATTATCCTAGTGATAAGCAAATCATGTCTGCTCATAGAAATTTAGTGCCTTTTAGTGGTTTTATTAAGAACAATAATATTGTTTCCAGGAAGTAACTGACTTATAAACAGGCCTTTTTTGTTTGAGTGTTTGACAGACCAGATCAAATACCCAATTAACATATCATAATACTTTCATGGCAGATTAATCTACTTCATTTAAAAGTGATAGGGAAAAGTATGTTTTTATTTGTAGAGAGACTGCTGCAATCTTGCCTTCCTCTTATGACAGAATAAACATAACATTCTGTTGGCTGTAAAACGGTACCTTCCAATTTATTGACTACATAAATATTTCATGTGCTACTCTTCCTTTTGGTGGTACTACTAAAAATTGAAACCAAGGCTTATTGGATAAGCTTTTCATGCTTTTCATCTAATTCAATCTTTCAAAAAAATCCTTTATAATATCTAATTTCTAGAGCAGCTGTTACACATCCAACAACCATCTCCAGATCTCCATCAACATTTCAGGCAGGCCAAGCCCTTGTTCATTATCACCGTGACCACATTCCTATTCTTAGCAAAGATTCTCCTTTGCAGAGCATCAGCCTACTCTGCTGTGGCAGCAGTCCACTTACTAATTTACAACTCCACCCACTAAATGCCACTGTGAATTATAAACTACTGAAGTAAACCATGTATTTTTAACAGCCTCAATTTTGCCATCATGCCTGTTTATAAAAGTCAAAGACATTTTTGAAGTGCAAAAATGCTAAGCTGGCATTTCAGGTTATTCTCCGGACATTGGCTATTCATCCACAATAAGGTTTCCTCCTCCTGTTTCCTCTTGAGAAAATCAGTACATTAATATGCTGAAAAATGCAAACTGTTTTGTACTAACATTTAATTCTTTTTCCAGAGGGCAAAATTTTAAGAAATCTGAAGAAAGAACCCAATCTAGGAGCTTTCAAATACTTTGCCAGAGTACAGGCAAATGTTACTGATTCTGCCCTAGGCTTTATTTCCAATTTGTTTCTGAATTTCTTACCGTGCAGTAGAATATGAGGTCCTGTGCTTTATGTACCATATAAAACACGGTAATGGCATCAACGTTTACATGGCACTGTTTAGGCTGTGTTGATTTTTTTTTTTTCTTAAACTGGGTTGCGTTGTAACAGAGATGACATTTGAACTTAAGTGGAATTTGCTGTAGCAGGCTGGTAGTCATTTATGTGTACTTAGCTTGAAGTACACAAGTAACCCCTTTGAGACAGCGAGTGATTCAGCAGCCAACTTTTTTTTCTACTGATTACTTTGTAGAGACAAACAATATACTTCATTGGTTGCCATGTTTGATAATGATTCGATAATCAGTACAATTATATTATGTAAAACATAAAATCCACCTCATGTCTGCAGTATCCTATCAAAGCTGTGAAGTACACGGAGTCATAAGTAGTGCTGGTTTATTTTTTTTTAAAGTGATAAGGCTGTGTAATTGTTTAAAACCAGCAAGCAGCAGAAGCATGTCACATAAGGTTTTAAATAACCTGTTCCTCTTCTACCATTGGTGCTCATTGTCTACCCACAATGTAGACTTCTTTAATTTTGCAAAACAGTAAAATGTCAGATAAATGGTGTCAT